CCTAATTGAGGGGCAATTTTCCAATAATTTTGAAGCCAATAGGTTAAGCCTAGGAAGTTTGGGAATAAAATCCCATAATAAAACAAGCATTGAGGTCTCTGTGCAAGCACCAAACAGAAATCCTAAATGGGCAAGGGAGGAAAACTTGAGGGAGGACCAAGAAACAAAGGCACTATCCCTGGGACTCCTTGCTGGGAGGAACACTGGACTACATTCTTGAGTAAATAGGATTATAAAATACAACTTTCTCTTTGGGAAAGTTCTCACTTGGAAATATCTACATGTGAATATAAAAAAGACAAAGAACATGAATCATGCTACTAGTAATAGTGATCCATGAAAATGGGCTTAATAATTTTTGTTTTCTAATTTTTCTTTCCTTTTTGTGGTACTGAGATTTAAACTCAGAGCCTTGGGCTTGCTAGGCAGGCACTGTACCAGTTGAGCCATATCCCCAGCTCTTTTTGCTTTAGGTAGTTTTCGAATAAAGTCCCACATTTATGCCTGGGCTGGCCTGGACTGCGATCCTCCTATTTAAGCTTTCTACTAGCCGGGATAACAGGCATATAATACCACATCCAGCTTTTTACTGGTTGAGATGTGGGGGTGGGGTCTCATTAATTTTTTTGCCAGGGCTGGCCTTGAACCATGATTCTCCCAATCTCTGTCTTCTGAGTAGCTAGGATTACAGGCATAATTTTTCTATTATGTATATGTATTGTTAAAGTAATTATAAAACCTCAAACTTATGTCAGCATAATGTATAAAAACCACTCTATCATCCTTGTAAGTGTGGAAATGAATTCTCACTTAGTTTTAATTCCAGCTGTAGAGCATAGTATGCCAGTGTTCACCTCTTTTAGGGTATTTTTTTGGATGGCAGAGGCTGGGGTAGAAAAGTCACATCCTCCTGACTCCCTTGCAGATGGAATTCTAGATGCAAATTGATTTCACCAACAGATGAACCTGATTGAGAAGGAGCCCATCACTGGCCCTTTGCTCTGCCCTCACCTACAGGGACCCACTGAGCAGGCTGTAGGAGCAGAATGCAATGTTCTCCTCTAGTTCTGAGCTGAAAGGAGGCCTAGGTTATGTTAAGTTCACTCTGATGCAGCTCTAGGAGAAATTTCTTGCAGCCAGCTTTGGCAGTGGTGGCTTCCTGCCTCCCTACCTTTCTGAGGTTCTAGAGGCTACAGCAGCCCTGAGGTCTGTTCTGTAGCAGTGTGCAGCATTCTGGGAGTCGTTCTCATCTAGGCTGAAAGGAACTTTTCTGTCTTTTTCACAATTGCCTAAACCATTCAATGCCTAAAATAGCTGGTTGTTTCTGTTTCCTGAGACACAGTCCTGACTGACATAAGGGCTGCTGAGCAACTTGGAGGCACACTTGTGATGAAGGAAAACACACATTGTATGACAAGTCAAATGGAAATTATTCAGAGCCATCAATATTTTAAATGACTTTGAATCCAGAATTACAGAAGGAACGGCTTTGCCAAACCTATAACACAACAAAATCTCCAACTGTAATTTCCTCACTTTGACTAAGATGTACCTTAAAATGTTTTCTAAAATGGATTTAATCTTCTCCCTGAGCCTTATCTTATTGGGTTTTAGGGAAGGTTGCGGAGGAGCAGAGATTCCAAATCAAATGTGCCTGTCTGTGGAATTCTAGCATAAAGAACTCTTTGTCATTGTTAGTATCAGCTCAGAGTTTCAATTTCTCCCCTTTCCCCATAACATGTGAGTTCATAGGGCTGTGCGGATCAGCTGGGCCAAGTGCTCTGTTCTCTTGCTGGTCTCCCATGTGAAGCAGCTGGCCTTGCCTGGCCCCAGACTGAAAACTATGAGGACTCACCAACCCCACTGAGGAGGGAGCATCCTGTTCTTACTCACTGGTGCAGTCTGTAATTCTACACCTTGCTGCTGGTCACAAGGGCCCTACATCATGGTTGCTCTGTTCTTTCTTTAGGCCTCCATGGTTCACTGATCTAAGAGCATTTCCAGCCCCCCATAAGGTGTGTAGGATTGCCAGATCCTTGCCATGGTCCCTTGCAGTCTGTGGGACAGAGCTTGCCCAGGCCTGTCTTCACTCACTTTCTGCTGTGCTGTGTTTGCACAGGTGTTGTGCTGGATGTGGGTTCTTCCTGGCTTTTCAGATGGCACATGAGGCAAATACCCACTCTGCCCTAGCTTTCCTCTAAGCACATCTAACCAATCTTTGCTGATGTTTCAATCTGAAGAGGAGTGACTGGACACATGTGTCTGTCTCCTTGCCTCCCCAGTTATGGGATAGAAAAGAGGACATTCTCATTTCTTTCTCTCAGCTAGGGGATTTCCATTCCCTCCCCAAAGCCAGGGACCAGCTTTATAAGACAAGATAGGATCAAAGGAGAGAAGATAATTTACCAATGAGCAAGGCTCAAAGATGTTGGCCCCCCCTTTTTTTCTTTTTGCTAATAAAGTCTACTCATAAGAAATGCTATGGTTTGGATAAGTGTCCCACAAATATTCATGTGTAAAATGTTTGATCCGCAGCCTATGGCACTTTTGGGATGTCGTAGAACCTTTAAGAGATGGGGCCTAATGGGAGGTCTTCTGGTCACTGGAGACTGTGCTCTTGAAGGGGATAGTGGGATCCTCAACCCTTCCTCTTTCTCTCCTTGCTTCCCAGCTATCACTAGGTGAATTGTTTCCTCTACTGCCATAAAGTGCTGTCTCACCACAGGCCTGAAAACAACAGGGCCAACTGACCATGGACTAGGGTCTCTAAATTGTGAGCCCAAATAAGCCTTTCCTTTCTCAAGTTGATTATTTCAGGTATTTGTTACATAATGGAAAGCCACCTAACACAAGGACTTATTGTTATATAATGGAAAGCCACCTAACACAAGGACTTATTGTTATATAATGGAAAGCCACCTAATACAAGGACTTACATGACTTATGTCCAATCTTGTTGTTTTGGTTCCTTTTTCCTAAGACTTACTAAGGAGAAAGATATGGACAGATAAGTGCCTAATGTTTATCCCCATCCTCTTCTTTAAAATTAAGGTGCATGAAAAAGGAATTTGCTGTGACCAGAAACTTTAGTTCTAGGTATAGGCCTAAAGAAACCCATGCATGTACATACAGAGATCTAAAAATGTATTCACTGAAAATGAATTTTTGTAAAAAGCAAAAATAGAGAAAGAATTAATAAACCATAACATATACATATACATATATATATATATATATATATATATATATATATATATATATATATATATATATATAAATCAAGGTGCATATTGTTGTAGAAGCCCTCTGCAGTTTAAATATATCCTCGCATCCTTTAAATATCACAACAGAAACGTTTGTAAGTCTTTACCCAAAGCTAGCCAGCCAGGAAGGGCAGAGCTTTCCTTGACAGAAAGCAGAGTGGAAAGGCATGAATTCTTTTCTGGAAAAGAATTAACATCAAGAAATATGAATTTGCTAAGGTCAACGTCCCTTTCCACCATCTCCATTTCCTCTTAATAGAATATGCTTTGGTATAAGAGTCCAGGAATTGAATAACAGCCATTATAGGTTTTGAAGCTTCTATAGACAATGTGGACATTTTACTACTTAGACAGCCCTCTTAATTTCAACTCTGATATTGCTGTGGTGAGACAGATGAGAGTTTGTACCGAGCATGTATTAAGAGGGCAAAACTTCACTATGATCCATATCTTGGATGGATGTGCCATGCAGAGTGAGTAGAGACCATGCAAGTGATACCAAACTGATAAAAGAGGTCTTCCTGGAGGAAAAGTATTGTGTGTGTAGTGTTGAGGCTTGCATGCTAGGCACACTCTCTACCACTGATATATACCCCCAACCTTGAGGAAAGATATTTGGATTGTGATTTCTTAGAATGGGGTATATGTAGCCGATTGAGCTAGTAACTAGCCACAGAAGGCTGCTCCCTTCCAGGGAAAGGTTGGGAGAATGATGAACTTGGATGTGCCTGGGTAGGAGTGCAGGTAAGTCTGGTGGATCTGGAAGATGGAAGACAGGCTGTCTGCCAGGAGTTGAATATTTGCCATTGAGTGGCACTTTTCAGAAGCTGCTAACATGGTCATGATGAGATACTTGGGAGATAGTTACAGTGAATACTGTGGTTTGGGATATGGTTTGTCTCCAAAAGGTTTATGTGTTGGAAGTTTGGTTCCCAGTATGGCAATGCTGAAAAGTAGTGGGACCTTTTAGAGATGGGGTCTAATGGGAGGTCACTGGGTGCTGCCTTCTGAAGGGATTAAGGTTGTTCTCATGGAAACTTGAATTATTTTTTGTGAGAAGCTTGTTTAAAAAAAAAAAAAGCAAGTCTGTCTCCTTCACATGCTCTGGCTTCCTGTCTCATCATTTGATTTCTCCCTCTTGTATTTGCTTTCAACATTGTGGGACCTCATATCCACCACCATGAGGCCTTTACCAGGGCATGGTTGATGCTGGTGCCATGCCCTTGAATCTCCAGAACTGTCATCTAATTTCTTTTCTTTATGCCAATCTCAGGTACCATGGACTAATATAATGATGAAGCCATTAAGAGAAAACTGAGTCTTAGAGAATCCTGGAGGGAGATTATAGGAAAGTTAGTTCATACTACCCAGCCTGGATAGGATATTGGGCAAAGATCAGAGTCCCTGCCCTCATCCTAGCTTTGTGACCTACAGTGAGCTACATAACTTCTCTGGGGCTTACTTTTCACATTTGTAAAGTGGTGATCATAATGGGACTTACCTCAGTGATTTGTTGTACCTTAGGAAATAATGCCTGTGAATGCATATCCACAGCCTCCCACAGTGTAGCCACCAACTCTGAGGCTGTTGTGAAGCTCTCAAAAATCACTGTGGGATTATGATAGGGAAAATCACTATAAAGTGCTACCTGAATATAAGTTGACACTCACATTTTGTTGTTAGTTCAGATAGGTTGGAAAATGTTTGGGGTACAAAAACCTTCACTATGAGCCATCTATGGAAGGATCAGAGGTGGATGTAGACAAGGAGCCAGAAATGGAAAATGTTCAAGCTGGAGCCCCAGAACCACCAGAAATGAAACTGAACAATCAAGAAGAAACAAAGGAAGGTGACACCAACGGTAAGGAGGGAAGGAAGAAGGTTGCCTTGGGGACCTATGCTTTGGGGAGTAGGTGTCAGGATTGAGCCAAGAAGGGAAAGTTTTCATTAAGACAAAAAAGTGCCTAAAAAATACATGTAATCACCTGCTGCTTGGCCTTCTGCTAAATAGAGTTATCCAGTTAATATGTCATCATTCATCAGACTTCATTCATGATTAATGTTGTATCAGACTTCCTTGGATTAGATGATCAAAGAGATTGTTTTTTGTTTGTTTGTTGTTGGTTTCTTCTGTGTTTTTTATTTGTTTACTTTTTTTGTTCAGAAAGTTCATTACAGGTTCTTTCCAGAAGTAAGACTCTTCTGGTCCCAGAGTTCTTGGACACAGCCCATGCCAAAGAGAAGGCCTCTGTCCTTGTGGTCAGCAACACACTCCTCATGTCCACAAAGGAGCCTGAGCTCCCACAACAGGGTAATGACATCCCCAACTTCTCAGCAAACACCATTCATCCCAAGCAAGGTGATGTCACCAAATCCTCAGCAAAACCCACTCAGTTTAAACAGGGTAACATCTCTAAAACCTCAGCAAAAACTACGCAGCCCAAACAGGAGAATGTCCCCAAGCCCTCAGTAAACACCATCCAGCCCAAGTATATCAACAGCCCCAAGTACTTGGCAAAAACTATCTATTCCAAACAGGGGAACATCCCCAAGTCCTCAAAAAACATCATTCAGACTGAGTCCAACAACATCCCCAAGTCCTTAGAGGAAACATTCCAGTCCAAGGAGGGTGAAATCCCCAAGTCCTTAGAGGACACCATTCAGTCCAAGGAGGGTGAAATCCCCAAATCCTTAGAAGATGCCATCCCACCCAGGGATGGTGACATCCCCAAGTCCTTAGAAGACACCATCCAGTCCAGTGAGGAAGACATCCCCAAGTTCTCAGGGGAAACCATTCAGCCCGAGGAATGCACCATCTCAAAGCTCGGAGAGGAAATGGAGTCCCCAGAGGTGGACATGGTAAAAGTGATCGTGAGCAATGAGGACTTCAAGGAGGTCCTCAAGGAGGCTGGGGAGAGGCTGGTGGCAGTGGAATTCTCAGCCTCTTGGTGCGGCCCTTGCAGGATCATCAAGCCATTCTTCCACTCTCTGTCTGTGAAGCACGATGATGTGGTGTTCCTGGAAGTGAATATTGACAACTGTGAGGAGCTCGTGAGAGACTGTGAGGTCGTTTGTCTCCCAACCTTTCAGTTTTATAAAAAAGAAGAAAAAGTGGGTGAGTTTTCTGGTGCCCTTAAGGAAAAACTCGAAGCAAGCATTGCAGAATTAAAGTAATCCTATATTCTGAGAACATTGTAAACAGTCAGTGGTTTATAACTTGTGATTTTTTTAATTAGCAAAAAATGCCAGGTAAAACAAAAGTGTATATCCGATTGGCACTGTTTCCACTCTTTTCAAAACACAAAGCATGTTCTGACCATGTTTTTGTTGGTTAGAGAGAATGAAATTAGAAATTCCTTGGGTGTAGATTTGGAGCCCCACTGTCCCCTCTTTTTCAATACTGTTTTTCCCCCTTTGCCTTTGAAAATTCTGCTCATTGAGTGTTTTCAGCACCATTGGAAATGTCATCCTTCTGTAGAAGTTCATGACTAGAAGATGAGTGGAAAGAGCTTATCTCATGCTCACTGGTCTTTGGGGGTTCTGGTGAGATAGTTTTAGAAATAAAAAGTCTGTCTTAGCTCACCTCCTTCTTGTCCTAGGACTACTGTGGGGAGGCACTCATAGACCGACGCTGCTTCCAGATTTCTGGTCCAGGGCTCTTTTTACTAATTCCTGCTCACAAAATCAGAGCTAGAGCTCAAAACTGGGTTTCTCAGAGACTTGGTGCCATTGTGACATCAGTACCCTGGTGCCAAAGTATCTGCTTTGTCCCTGGGTAACTGGATTCTTGATTCCTAACCCAGCTGTCTGCAAGAACAATGGCCCAAGTCTGGTGGGTAGTGGCTTGGTGAAGAGTGGTTTGCTATTTTTTAAATAGCTTTGTGTAGGTATAGTTCATAGCAAAAGAACTACACACATTTAATATGGACAAGTGGATGAGTTTGACGAAGTGCATTCATCTGTGATACCCATCGTTTTCCAGAAGTTGCCTTGTGATCTTTTGTTTTTACTGTTGTCATAATAAGAACAGCTCACCTGAGAGATTACCTCTTGATAAAGTTTTACAAGCCAACACCACACTGTTAACTCTAGGCACTATATGTACCGGAGAGTTCTAGAACTTATTCATCCTGTGTGACTGAAATTTTGTAACTGTTAAACAACTCCCATTCCCCTTAGCCCATTATGGCAGACTTCATTCTATTTCCTGGTGACCCAGAATATTTTTAAAAATAGAAATTCTTGAAGGACCTTTCAAAAACAAATATTCCCTTTAAAATCTACATTTTTATATGCCCAGAATTTAATGAATTAGCCCAGCCTTTCTGCTACTTCAGTCCTATCTGGATGACTTAGTGAACCCCCTGACACTTGGAACTGTGCAATTTGAAGGATTAGAGATGTAAAAATATAACATTAATGACTGACAACAACCAACTGCTTTTTCTGAGACTGTAGTATCAAAGACATTTCTGTTAATTGTCTTTGTAGTATTTGGTTTACTGTTATGGTTTGAGTATAAAATGTTCCCCAAAGGTTCATGTTCCTCCGTCAGTGGAGCTATTTGGGGAGGTAGATGGAAATTTTAAGAGGTAGGGGCCTGGATGGAGGAAGCAGGTCACTAGGGGTGGCCTTTGAAGGACGTCTTTTGTCTTCTGCCCCTTCTTCTCCACGTCTCTCTGCTTGCTGTTCACCACAAGATGAACTGCTCTGCTCCACTCTCCACTCCCCACCATGATATTCACCTTCCTCAGGCCCACAGCAATGAAGGGCGCCAGCCAGGGACTGAAACCTCTGAAACCATGAGCCAAAATAAATCCTCTCTCCCTTTAAGTTGTTCCAGGTCCTTGTCACAGCAGCGAAAAGTCCGACTAACACAGTTACTAAGTGTGTCATGGACAATGTCCTCAAAAAATCCTTAAAAATTATTCCGATGGTAAGTATTTAATGTGACCTAAGAATATTCTTAATGTAAGTTAAGGGGCTAGGCAAAGCTCAACTCTATGGAGGAATTCTGTAGGACCAAGACAATGCACACAGGGTGTGGTTCTCTCACTGTCTAGTTTGATCCAGGGATAAGATCTAAGCTACCAATTTAAGTCCTTCAAACTATCCACTTTGAGTACCATTTCTCTTGACTGTGGGTAATAGTTGAACAGTAGCCTGTCAAAGTTATGCTCTTTGACAGAAAGCTTGAGTATGGATATTCTTTGTTGCTGAGTAAGAATGAAGCATGAAATTAAAAAAAAAATCAACTAGGCAATGGTTTTTACCTCTGATATTTAACATGAAGGAGAGTAAGAAGCATTTATAATGAGAAGGCAGATTTCAGATAATGAGACTGGCTATGGATGGTGAAAATGTAACTAGAGCCTGAAGAATCAGTGGATGACTGGGTGTGTGGTTCAACTAGTAAAGCACCTGTCTGGTGAGCACAAGGCCCTGAGTTCAAACCTCAGTACTGTTGAAGAAGGAGAAGGAGAAGGGAAGGAGAAGAAGAAGAAAGAGTCAGTAGAGATCAGCAGCCAGGCACTAGGGACTCATACCTCTAATCCTAGCTCCTTGGGAGGCTAAGATCTAGAGGATCATGGTTCAAGGCCAGCTTAGGTAAAAAGTTTGCAAGATTCCCCCCTTCTCAACCAATAGCTGGACTGGGAGGATCACAGTTTGAGGACTGTCTGGGCAAAAAAGTTTGCAAGAGCCCATCTCAACAGAAAAAAAGCAGGGTGCCACCTGCCTGTCATTCCAGCAACAACGGGAAGCATAAAATAGGAGGATCTTGGTCCAAGCCAGCCTGGGTAAAAAGAGAGACTCTATGTCCAAAATAACTAAGGCAAGTGTGAAGCTCTGAGTTCAAACCCCAGTATCACCAAAAAACAAATGAGGAAATCCTGTTAGGATTAATAAGAAAACTCAACAAAGTGGTGGCAATATTTAATTGGTACAGCAATTATGAGAGAAAAGAGCAACAAAAATCACCGAGAATCAGACCCTGCATGGAAGTAGAACTGTGAAAAACGAAACATTTCAGTGTAATGAAGTATGAGTGGGTTTCTTTTTTTTAAAATTGTATCGTGAAATTTTGATATTTGAAGGAAAAAAATCAATTTATATCTCATTCCCATGCCAGCATCAATATAAATATAAGTTGGATTAAGGAATTTAAAAAAATGTGAAATCATAAAAAACAGAGGAAAATTAGTGAAGCATTTATATGATTCATGGATGGAAAAGGGATTTTCAAAACACAAATGTTAGAAAAGGACTTAACAATTGCTGCAACCCTTTTGGAATACAGAGCAACAAAGGTATAGACTCCTTGTGAATTTTAGTTTACATAATAATATGTTTAGACAGCTAAATACCACAGAATGTGGGGTTAAACACCAGACATTTATTTCTCACTGTTCCATAGCCTGTATGTGTGGGTTTGTCTCACAAGCTTTCTTGAAAGCTCCTGTTCTCCTGATCTAACTAGCAGTGACTGGAGATGCAGAAAGGACAAAGGATAGAAGACAGACATGCAGAAAGCTGGGGCCGGGTGTGCTGGGTGCTCAGATGGAGACGCACAACAGCCTCGTTGCTTTTTTACTTCTCTTCTTTTACTTTGCTTCTTTTCTCTAATAATTCGTTTTTTACTTTGCTTTTCTCTATCCTTTAAAACCTTCCTTCTAAAGTCTTTCTTCTTCTCTATTCTTTAAAGTCTCAGTCCTTAGACTCGCACTGTCCCATGTTTTTTTTAATCTCTCTTAAAGTCTTTGCCCTCAGACTTGCACTGTCCCATGTTTCCTCTAACCTTTAGCATAACTCAGCAGCAGCAGTGTCATTCTGCAGCAGTCCCCTCGCAAGCCACCAACCAATCAATCCATCCCCAAACAAAGAAACCCTCCATCAATCCCCCATTAAAAAAAACAAAACCCTAGCATTTTCCTTCAGTGAGTCTTTTATATCTAGTACAAAACAAGGAGGTGGAACAACAGTTCTCAGGGAGAGGTGTGTCATTATAACAAGAGAAACCTGAGTTTCTACTTCTCTGAAAGTAAACAACTTAGGAAAAGCAACTGTGCTGCATTTTGTCTTCTCACTTTCTTATGCAGCTGGGGCCGTGCCAAACTCAGCCTGTAGATCATTGCACAACTGTGCTTATGTCAAGTTCTCATAGGCTTCTTATAATCCGCTCCCCACAGGTTTGGTGTCTGATTAGGCCTTTCTCTGAGTTTGTGGACAGCCACCTTTTTGATGCCTTGCCCTCACATGGCCACCCTCTTTGCACCTGCTCACCACTGGTGTCTCTTTACATGCCCAAACTTCTTATAAAGACACTGGTCAGACTGGATTAGGACCCAGCCTCATTTTGGTTTAAACACCTATTTAACAGCCTTATGCAAATAAAGTCACATTCCAAGGTACTGAGGATTGGGGCTTTGACATATGAATTTTGGGAAAGCATAATTCAGCCCATAACTGCTTAAGAGGAGGCTCGAGATTAGGACTAAAGATCCCTCTGGGGGTGCATGACATAAAAATATCTCTAAATAAGGCTTGGGAGTCTGTCACTCATGCTGATGTTGAATTTTGGAGAAGAGGGTAGGAACATGCTAGGAATCTCTCCCTCAGAATATTGTGCAGTAAGCCCCCAATGTGAAAATGGGGCTTCTCCAAAGGCAAGGGGAAGTTTCCCCAGAATAGCCAGACTGTGGCCTCCCTTGAGCATAGACCTTGAAGTCAGAGTGTAGGCCTCAGATGGTACCCAGGCCATTGGGATGTTTCGCCAAGTGATTCTTCCATCCTGAAAGAAGTCTGGGAGTTCATGAATCACCAAGCTCAGTACCTCAAAGCACCCAGCATCTCCTTGATTTTTCATTCTTTTCCAGCTTGTTGGATAGGAATACAGGTCTGTTGAATTCTCTTCTGCTTCCCCTTCCGTGCATGAAAGGGATGAACAACTAAAGGTAGCTCAGGATTCGTGTTAAATCAAGGATGTCAAATGAATTATTAAAAATCCAGATTTAAACCTCTTAACTGAAAAAAATCTGATTCAGTAGTTGTGGGCTGGGACCAAGGAATCTTTCCCCATTGTCCAGAAGAACATCATCCAATAAGTTAGCCCTGCACAACGTCCCTCTCCTGTGGACTCTACTACAGTTCCTACCCATAATTCCTACTCTAGGACA